ATTTTTTACAGAAATAGATATGCATCACTGTGTGCATGCATGTGCATTTGGAATATTCAATTCAAATGGTAGTTTAGAAAACTGATAATTATTATTTATAGAAGACATTTAATTCCATTGGATCTGATGTTGATCATCACTACAAAAATAAAATAAATCTGAAAGGACAGACTACTATTCAGTTACAACAGTCTCCAGTCATGTAGGCACAGTATAAACAGCTAAAACATGTCCATCTGAGGACAATTAGAATCACAATTGTTGTAACTTTGAAAATGAATCTAAAACTGATAATCTTGTATTCATGAAAATACTAAATGTTCAAAATGATATTGATTACATTGTGATTTATTGTACCTTGTTAGTGAAAGATATTGGTCCCCGATATCTGGTCCTAGAGGTCTCAGATGCAACTCCAAGATGATTGATGTTGCACTTGCAGATTCAGCATTGATATCTCACTCTAGTTACAGTATCTTATATTTGCAGAAATTCTGCTACATACTGCCACAGCTCTGCGATAGTACTTTTACGCCCAAATGAAAATATATCTATAATCTCACTATAATACAAGTCAGTGAGTGTGGTCATCTGACTTTTCAAAGTCTCCAAGCTCTGTATTACCTCACAATGACAGAATGCCATGACAAAAAGTAGGAGGAAGACAATAGAAACTGCAAGGAGTCTACCTGACTTTTTGGTGGGAGTTTTAAATCTGAAAGTGTAAGTTTCTGTAGGTAAAGTAACTTTATCAACATCTTTCAGCCTCACCCTATCCCAATGGCTGGTATTGAAATTTTTCATTACAGGATGCACCTCTACATCAGAGCAGGAATATGGGGTTTCCCTTACAATTTTCATTTTATTGCGAAACTCTTGCATCTGTTGTAGAAATAAGACTGGATCAGACTCATCCTTAAATGTCTCTGCCAAAGCAAAAGCCCTTTTCTGTTCTTCCAGAATCATCTTCAATTTATTTATTTCTGGATCATAGGCCTGCATTACCACCAGCTTCATGGTTTCAAAATCTGAAAGAATCTCATTCTTTTTCTGTTCTAGTGTGTGCTGCAACTTAGTAAAATATTCTATCACCTTTTTTGCATCCTTGCTTATTAACTGCAGGGACTTTTTCTTGTCACTTTCTAATTTCTCAAGACATGACTGAACATCAGCAGAACACCAGGTTTCTAAGCCTTGGAAAAGTCCATCAAAAGCTTCTCTCTCCTCTTTGTAGGCATCCTTGATAGCACAGAAGGAATGTCCTTCATGATCTCCCATGGTAGCACAAAATCCACAGATTAATTGAAGGTCTGTTGAGCAAAAGATATTCAGTGGTTGTCCACTATGCTTCTTGCAGATTGGAACTTTAGGTATGATCCGAATCCTGTTGTACTTCTCTATTATTCCCCTTAGCGAATAATTCACTTGCAAATTGCTAATTCCCACGGCAGGGGTTTCTTTGCGACAGGTTGGACATTTGAAAGGGACTTTGCATTGAATACCTCTCCCATTTCCTTCCAAGATGCCTTCTAAACATCGCTTGCAGAAATTGTGTGAACAAGGGAGAACCCGTGGATCTTCAAATAAACAACAACAGATGGGACAGGTCAATTCCTCTTCAAACAATTCCATTGTGTTCTATTTAAGGAAAACAGAAAACAATTAACATTATAAATATACTAAACATAAATTCAAAATTATTACAAATAATTAGCTAGTTGGTATTGGAACCAACCTTAAGTGGAATAACAAGTTTGAAGCAGAATAAATTGTTGAGAAATACCATGAATTTATACTCTCCTGATGACTGCCTGATCTCAGCTAGGCTGTTAGTATGAACACAAACAGTAGACAAAGAGACAGCAAATAGTTCATGGGCAGGTCAAACCATACCATACTTCTAAAAATGAATTTGAGAAGAAACAACAGAAAGCATATGACTGGCCTGGCTTTAGTTGGGATGGAATATGACACCCCTGGGAGAAAAGATAGAACTTTATTAGTCAATAATGCATATTATGAAAACCATGTAGAAGTATTGGAAAGATTGCAAAGAAAAGTTATAAGGATTATGCCAAAGCTGCAATGTTATTAACTATGAGGAAATGATGAACGGGAAAGTTAAAAAAATGCCAAACAGAAAAGTTTAAAATTCTGAACTATTTTGTTAGAAAAGACATAGGAATCAGGCGTCAGGTCTGTTTTTCTCCAAACCTGCTTCCCATTGGAATATGATTAATGTCAAGATTTTCATATAGGTTACTCCTTAAACTGACATAATTTGACAGGGAACCTGTCTCTAAGAGTGGTGAGTAGGCTTTTGAAGTTGGAGGTCCAATCTGATGCCTTTCTGTTTTTGAGGAAGCACCACAGCAGGGACAAATAATTAACTGGAGGTCAGCTACTTTCTAAATACATAATGCAGCCAGGCCTCTAGTGCATTGAAGGAGGAGTCTCCATACAACCACATTTAAATATATCCCGAAGATAATGAACTACTGAAGTAACTCATTCAGTAAAAGAGAGCCTTATGATAGGCCACTTGAGAGACAAGAGACATGTTGGTTTGTGACTCATGTCATATCTAGGCCAGATCAGGTAAGGATGGCAGATTTCCTTCCATAAAGTACATTATTTTCCAAAGTGAACAGTTCTTTCCATGAGTTCCATCTCATTCATGTGCCTGGATTCAAAACAAAAACCAAGGAAGGAAATTAATGCAATTAAAATTAATTAAATTCTTGGACAAAGTTAAATATAAAATTTTAAAAAAAACAACAATAGTGTAGAAGAGAAGACTGGGTTGACCAAAGGTAAACTGTAAAGGCAAGAATATAATTTAATAATTCAAGTTTTTTTAAAATCTAACAATGAGAATTGTAAAGAAATGTATAAAGAAATCTATAAGTTAAAGCAAGATGAAGTACTTGTCACAATAAAGACATTATTAAGACAAGACACCAATGTGAAAACAGCAATAAGGCCACCTTCAGTTTCTTTGCTCAGTTATTTCCTTTCATAGATTCACAGAATCCCTACAATGCAGAAAGAGGCCATTCAGTCCACTGAGTCTGCACTGCACCTCCGAAGAGCCACCAACCCAGACCCTATCCCTGTAACCCCACATTTACCATGGCTAATCCACCTAGCCTGCACATCCCCAGACACTACAGGGCGATTTAGCATGGCAAATGCACCCAGCCTACACATCTTTAGAATGTGAGAGGAAACCTAAGCAGCCAATGGAAACCAATGTAGACACAAGAAGAATGTACAAACTCCACACAGAGAGTCACCAAAGGTTGGAATCAAACCCAGATCCCTGGTGCTGTGAGGCAGCAGTGCTAGTTACTTTACCACTATGCCAATCTTTCTCTGTCATAATGTCATATCAAAAAATGAGAATTTAAAAACTGAAGTGAAAATGCTGTGGCTCGAGTGAATGCAATTTCAAGAATTTTAGCTGTTTAAATCTAAAGGGTGAGAAGTTACCTAGATTAGGCACTGATCACATCATTAATCTGAAGACCAAACTGGTTCTATAACAACTAAAACCAAGACAAAAAAAGTGTGTGGGAAAATACACTGAGAATATACAGGGTTTTGTAACTATTGTAGCAGAATATGCCTGGAAATAATATTGCAGCACAGTGCACTTAAAAGCAGTAAAATGTGTCGCATAGTCCTTTACTGTGCACACAGGCACCACATCTTCAAAAGCAAAAACTGCAGATGTTGTAAATGTGATACAAGAAAAAAGGCTGGAAAAACTTAGCAAGTCAGATAACATTGTTGGACAGAAACAGAATCAACTTTTTTTTGTTCTGATGCAAGGTCATTAATCCAGTGGAAGCAGGGATGAGACAAGAGGAAGAACAAGGTCTGTGTTAGGGTGGAGGACAAGAGTGAGTAAATAACAAAATTTCATGACGAAACAGCCAGAGTGATAATGAATATGAATTGAAGAAACTAAGGTGGTGTCCAAATGAGGCATGAAAATCAGCCAATTACAACATGGAGATGTAAAGAAAATGACTAAATTCAACCCAATAAAACAAAGGGTAAGAAACAAAAGCAACTGAACAAGAGGGAGGCAACGGTTATGATCAAAAGTTGTTGATCTCAACATAGTGCCCAGAAGGCTGTAGAGTAAAAGAGTTGAAGGAAAAGGTGCAGTCCCTCGAGGCTGCATTCAGCTTCATCGGAACACTACAGGTGGACAGGCAGAATGGAGATGTTCTTCAAAGTGGTCAACCAGTCAGTATTTCATCTTCCCAGTGTAGAAGAGACCACATCATGAGCAGGGAATACAGAATATTAAATTGAGAGTAGTGCAAGTAAATCGCTGTTTCACTTGGGAGTGTTTGGAACCTTGAGACAGTGCGAAGGAAGGAAGTGAAACAGCAGTGTTGCATCACCTTTCTGTGCGAGTGTAGGAGATGGAGGGATGGGAGATGTTTGAGGTGTAGACTACAGAGCTGGGGAGGGAACAGTCCTTACGGAATGCTGAAAGGGAAAGGCAGAGGAAGATGCATTTTGTCATGACATCATGCTGGAGCTGGTGATAAGGTGGAGGATGATCTATCAAATTCCGAGTAGATCAAACTGAAGGTGAGGACAAGGGGTACCTTATCACAGTCGGAAAAAGGAATAAGGTTAAGATAGAGTTGAGAAACGTGGATTGGAAATACTGGGGGATGCCTTCAAACAAGCTGAGTTGAAATCTTTGGATGAGGAAGACATAGCAGAAGTGCTGCTGTGGAAAGCAGCATCATCAGAATAGATGCAAGAGGAAAGGAACAGCAGGGAGAAGAGAGTAATGTCTTTGATAGGAAGCAACATATGAGAAAGTTTGTTGAGGTAGGTGTGGGAGTCAGCAGATTTGTAATGAACATAGACTATCTACCAATCTCCTGAAATGGACAAAGAAGGATGGAATGGGAAGATTGATGATGTAATGGAGATAAAAGAGAGGAAGCTGGAAACAAATGCAATGAAACTTTCCAGCTCATTGCAGGAGCACCAATACAGTCAGTGCACTGGAAACAGAGATGAAGCTTGGTCAAGGAGTGTTTAAAAGGAACACCTTACAGGAGGAAGGAGAGAAAGCAGAGAGGTAGGAAGAATAGGACCTTGGCAACTAAAGGCACAGCTAGCAAACGGCAGAGTGATTAAATGCAATGACGCTCAAGAGAGCAGGTTACTGAATATTGAAAGAGAATGCAAGAGATCGCAGGATTTGAAAGCAAGAAGCCTATTGAGACTGCCCTGCCATTTAACAAGATCATGGCTGATCTGATAATCCTCAATTCCACATTCCTAACTTTTCCCTATAACCCTTGATTCTCTTAAATGATTAAAGATCTGTTCTCAACTTTGAACGTACTTAATAAACCCAGCCTCAACAGCCCTCTGTTCCACAGATTCACTATTCTCTGAGAGAAGAAATTCCTCCTCATCTCTGGTCTTAAATCTCTGACTCTTTGTTCTGAGATTGTCACCTCTAGTCTTAGACTGTCCAAGAGGAAACAACCTTTCTGCAGCAACCTTGTCAAGTCCCTTGAGAGTCTTCTATGTTTCAATAAGGTCTCATTCTTCTAAACTCTAAATCAGAGTAGGTCTAACCTACTCAACCTCTCCTCATTAAAAAAAAATCTCTTCACACCTGGGATTAATGTAGTGAGCCTTCCCTGAACTGCCTCCAATACCAGTATATCTTTCCTTAAATAAGGAGCTCAAAATCATTCACAATATTCCAGTTGTGGTCTGACTAGAGCTTTGTATAGTTTCAGCAAAACCTCCCTACTTTTATATTCCATTCTTTTCGAAATAAAGAGCAAAGTGAAGTGCAAATCTCATGGTTGTTTGCAAACTCCCCCATAAAACATGGAGCAGAAGTAGGCCATCAAGTCTGCTCCGCTATTCAAAGAGATCAAGGCTGATCTGATAATCCTCAATTCCATTTTCCTGCCTTTTCTCCATAACCTTTGATTCTCTTACTGATTAAAAATCTGTCTATGTCAGCCTTAACTATTCTTAGTGACCCAGCCTTGACCACCCTCTGTGAAAACAAATTACTCTTCTCATTTTAAATAAGCAACCATGTCAGGGGTGGAAAGAAGTGGTCTTGGTGATAATACAGGTAAATGACTAGAAGTTTTTCTTGGAGTGAAATACGAACGAGTGAGTGTTCCACTCCATCAGTTACTGCTTAAGATGGAAATTCACCCCATAAACTGCAGATATATTTTTAAAAAACAGAAAATCTCCACCTCTTCCATCAATGTTCCACCTTTGCAATGTACAATCAAGTCAGGGATAGCAGAGACCTACTTGTGAATCTAATACCTATTTGATACTTACTTGAATTCCAATGCAATTATGTGTACATTTTTTCCATTATCTAGTGTCAGTTACATTCATAAACAATGAGGAATACTAGAAACAGGTTTGAAGCAAATGTACAAAGTTCAGTAAATAAAACTGGAGAACTGCAAACTTGTCTCAAACCAGGACAGGATTAGAGACAATATTCCTGGCTATAATGCATTTAGGAAAGATAATGAAGAAAAAAAAAGCCAGTGGCAGCATTGATTGAAGATACTGTTACAGCACAGAAGAAGGATGATGTACT